ACAAAGACTTCAACCAGCCCTTGCAGAGTGTCACACTGCCAGGCAGTCTGCAGACTTTGACCTTCGGCTGGAATTTCAACCAGAGCATATCAGGTGTCACATTGCCAAGTAGTTTGCTGACTTTGACCTTCGGCTTTTCTTTCGACCAGAGCTTGGAAGGTGTCATGCTGCCTAGCAGTCTGCAGACGTTGATCTTTGGTTCCAACTTCAATCAGAGCTTGAATAATGTGTCCTTGCCACGAGGCCTCCACGCCTTGACCTTCGGAGACTGGTTTGACCAGAGTTTGGATGGTGTCACCCTGCCAAGGGGTCTACAGACCTTGATCATCGGTGATGGGTTTGAACAGACGTTGGAAGGGGTGGTTTGGCCCAATGGACTGCAGACTTTGGTCATTGGTGCTCAGTTTAGCAAGAGCTTTTCAGGTGTCATTCTGCCAGATAGCCTTCAGTCTTTGACCTTTGGTGACAAGTTCAACCACAACTTGGCAAGATTCATGTGGCCAAGCAGACTCCAGGCTTTGACCTTCGGCGACAGATTCAACCAAAGTTTGGCAGATGTCACCCTGCCAAGTAGCCTGCAGGCTTTGACCTTCGGCAATAGCTTCAACCAAAGCTTGGAAGGCGTCACCTTGCCAAGCTCTCTTCAGACTTTGACCTTTGGGGGTGGCTTTGGGCATAGCTTGGAAGGTGTCACTTGGCCAAAGGGCTTGCAGACTTTAGACTTCCGCAACGGTCCTGATCAAAGCTTGGAAGGCATTACTTGGCCAAGCAGCCTGGAGACTTTGACCTTCGGCTTCAGTTTCGATGAGAGTTTGGATGGTGTCTTCTTCCCCAAGACTTTGCGAACTTTGAAGTTTGGCGAAGCGTTCAACCAAAGCTTGGGGGGTGTTACGTTGCCAAGCGGTTTGGGGGCTTTGACCTTTGGCTTTCTGTTCGAGCAGAGCTTGGAAGGTGTTACGTTTCCCAGCAGCCTGCAGTCTTTGACCTTTGGCCAAGAATTCAACCAGAGCTTAGAAGGCGTGATTCTACCCAGTGGGCTGCAAACTTTGACCTTTGGCAATTGTTTTTGCCAGAGCCTGGAGGGTGTCACTTTGCCCAGCAGCCTGCAGACTTTGAAGTTTGGCCAGCAGTTCAATCGAAGCTTACAACGTGTTTCCTTGCCTAGCAGCCTGCAGGCTCTAAACTTTGGCGAGGGGTTTGACCAAAGCTTGGAAGGCGTTTCCTGGCCAAGCAGCCTGCAGACTTTGAAGTTTGGCGATGAGTTTGACCAGAGCTTGCAAGATGTGACATGGCCAAGCAGCTTGCAGAACTTGACCTTGGGTGTTGGCTTTGATCAGCCTGCCGGGCTTGCAAACCTCTCCTTGCCCGGCTTGCGCACCTTGAGCTGCGACAAGGAGCTTGAGGACATTTTGGAGCCCAGCTTTCAGGGAGCTTTGCATGAATTCCGCTGCCGGAGCCTTAAGCTTCAAGTCCATGCGGCTTCAAGTCCGGGCGAGACAGAGAGTCCAGCGAGTCCAGCCATCGAGTCACACCACTTGGCATTTGTTACTAGTAGCTTCTAGCTGCTAATAGCGATGCACTTGTTACAAGTAGCTTCTTGTTACTACTAGTAAGGCACTTGTTCCTAGAAGCGATGCACTTTGTTACTAGTAGCTTCTAGCTGCTAATAGCGATGCACTTGTTAC